AGAATCGCGCCTGATGCCGCGGTCTCTTGTCGCGCGAATTTCCAGAATCGCAACCTCGCGTTGTTATTGCAGGCTGTTGCAAACCGGACGTTGCGTATCGAACGGGGTGAACGAGCGAGTCCGCGCTGTAACTCTTCCGCCCCGCGATAACGACCGAAATATCTCGAGCGCGGCGGGCGCTCGATAAATATTTTTCACCAAGACTCGGAGCCCATTTTATCGGATCTCCCTTTTACGCGCGGTCTCGTGCCGACCGGCCGGTTCATTTCGTCGCGATTGCGCCGACATGCATTAAAGCGCATGCAAGCTCGTCGGCCGCATATTATCCGATATAATGGCATGCTTAGCACGCTGTAGGCACCGTGACTTTTTTAAAGCCTGCCCCGATTAGCCGTTGTTATAGCTCGAATTACGCGGAATCGTTATCGCGGATAAACGCGGGTCGCAATTCGTAAGTTTCACCCTCTGTGTACTAGTTCGATTTCATCTCACACACGAATATCGAAATTCGAATATCTCACACACATGCACATGCTCTACGACTCTTTCCACACTGCATTAAAAATTTCTAACATTTTGTATCTTTATAATATGCGTTTAAGACGATGTTACAGTAAACAATATACAATACGTTGCAGCAAAGCTGATGTTCTCTCATGGATGATGTACATCGTGTATATCTTTATTCCGCACTTTTGGTAGTCTTATATATTTTATTCAGAAATGCATCATTGATTAACTGGTATTATTTCTTTAGACTTGGCCCTGTATGTAATTTACACGTTTGCATCCCCAAGACATAGACACCGTAACACAACTATATCTCCCGTAGTCAACTATAATTAACACGATCACTATATCTATATGTATACCTGCATTAAATTGGAATATTGCATACGCGGAATGTGTTAACGAGATATGTGTTAACCAATAGCACATTATGCACAATTAGTACAAGGATAGCATCGGGATTTCACGTTAGTAATTAATGACTTAATGCACCGTGAGAGCATGGAGAAACATACTCTTGTACTGATATTACTACTGATGTTCAAGTAGACTACTAATTTGTTGCGATTTAATGAAAGGAACCGAGGATTGGATAATGCGGCACTATGGCGAGGCACGAAAAAAAATATATTGAAATTATTCGTCGTGAAAGATGCAAATGGCTCAATATTATTATTAAAATCATAGCGCACACAAAGTTTTATATATATAGACGCAATTTTTCAATTTAAATCCTCATCACACATATTTAGGATATTTACCATTCATTTCTTCTTCCTTCTTTTTTTTTAAGAAAGAGAATCGAATTTTCCAAGATACAATTTCAGAAATATTGATTTACATAAAAAGAAAAAAAAATAATAGCAAAATTACCGAACGCAGGAAAACACGAGAAACAACAGAACCGACGAAAAGGTTGGTTGTACGCAGCTTTGTCGGAAAAATAATGGAAGCTTCAATTACCGAATAGATTGCCTCGAATTTCTATCGACGGACGCTATTCTTCCATTTCACCGTTTCTTTCTTTTCGAGCCCTTTGTTTTTTCATTTGTTTTTTGTTCAGTATCCGTCTGCCAATTTTTCAAAACAAAGTTATGCACTATCCGTCATACGCGTGTTTCGAGCGAATCGTGAGCTTTTTGATATGAATCTATTTAAATGTACGGATTTATTTTTTCGCACGTAGAAATTTTAGCCAAATCCAATCTTCTTGTCTGTTATCAGATCTGTAAATTTTAATAGTTTAATCGATATTTAATTCTGAAACTAAAATTTCATTAAATTACGTAACTACAACTCAGTTTAGCTAGATATTTATGTCCAGTTTACATACTTTTATAATTATACTTCAATAAATTTTTAAACTATTTAAACGTATTTTTTCTTGGCGATAAAATTTCCAGACGTAACGATAACGACAGTCAAAAATTACGGATATCGCACGAGTAGGTAAAACTCATCAAGAGATGAGAATGCGGCTTCTCTATCAAACGGGTTCTAAGCTTTCGTCGGCTTTACTTATCTCGGCTATCCCGCGAATGGATTTCTTCGGGAACGAGGGTCTCCCCCAAAATCGTACGCGCGCGCAACTTCAGCGATAATGATAAAGCGGATTCGCGACTTCGAAAGTGCGGAGACAGAGAAGACGAAGAGGATGAAGCCTCGTTTTACGGTGCATTAAATTCTGACGAAGTGGCTTGTTCTATATTGGCGGATCCGAATTATCCTGGAACAGATAAACAGACCGCCGACGGGAGCGGGGAGGAGAAAACATCGGGGACGTGGAAAAGGGGAGAAACGGGACAGCGACATTTCTAAGGAGGTTGTAGCGATGTTTTTTTGCGATTAAAGGGGAGAAGATGAAAAGGACAGGGAGCGAATCGGGAAAGATAGAAACAAGAAAGTATGATGGAAGTACTTTGGGATTTTCAAGGGAAGATGAAATCTAGGGACGCGTCAGTCGAGCGTGAAAAGTTCGACGGTGACTGTCTCGGCAGCTCCGCGAGTTTCTTTTCGTCTACTTTTTTACTAGTTCTATAGAGAAGATGTCGTCGTATCTAGAGAAAGAGGAAGATTGCCGAGTTGTCTGTTTTTCTCGCCAATAGTTTAGTATCGCTCGTAATAGCATCTCGATTCGCTCGTGATTGTTAGAATTTATTTGTCGCGATTACGTCGCGATAAACAGCCAGCTGCGGAATTGAAGCTTCAGAAATAATGAACATGAGTTATTTCTTTAGAAGAGACAAACGGATGCATTTAATGTAATCTCAAAATTGTAATAACAAATGTTCATTTACGCATAAAACAATCAGAAAATTTCCATCCCAAAGTGAATGGATATTTTTAAATCAAACTTCCATCTCTCTTGAAAAATTTGCTGTATCGAAACTGTATTCCTCTGGTGTCTCACGCACACTCCAATCGCGAGGTTGATTAACGGCGTAATTAATCGTATTTGCCGCATCCGCTTTTAATTATCTGCGCTGGGGGCGGTCGGGAAAAATCTGCGCGAGCATCCGGGTGCTGCCGAAAAATCGACGATGATGGAAGCTACGGGAGGGAATTGTCCGACGGCTCGACTAATTACACCCTAACGTATTACGCTTGGTTCGCGCGTAGAGACGTTACGGGAATAATAAATTACTGCAACGGCTCGTCGTGCTTTCATCGCGGCGCGGGCGAGGCGGAACTCGGTTACAAGCTCTGGCCCGGCATCTCTCGCGCGTTCCATGATAATTAATTCCCCATTAAATGCAGAATGCGGTTGTTTACTTAACACACGTCGTCGTACACGCCGGGAAAAGCCGACGCGGATGCTGCATTATTATTAGCGCGGAACCGCGAGATTTCCTCCCGTGGATCATTTCTTGCCGCGGGTAGCTCGATTTCATCGATACTCCGATAACGAATAACGCGCATGCTACACAGTTATGGAGTGTCGACGCTGACATAGAGTCGCGTCGACACTCCGAAATGCAAGGAAAACGATAAACTCCTTCGCAGAGAGAAATGGTGAATAAATACAGCGTCCCTTGCGCACAATTCGAATGTCGAAACTTTTCTTGGGCGCGAATCGTTTATCTCCGTATGGCAGACGCAGCCGTTCCCTAATCGGCAAAAAATTGCGAAACACGCCGCGCCAATAAATCTGATTTCTATCGGAAGCTACTACCGGGCGCGATTTTGTTCGCGAGACTCGACGCGATTTATCGGGAGGAGCGTGCCTGTTTTTATCACGAAGCACGGTCTTGAATAAAAATATCGCTATAAATACAAAGTACGATGACAGCTCTCGATTCTTATTGGCAAATGTATAAAAACGTCGATAAAAGGGAAAGAAATTACCGCGCCTCGAGAATTCAACAATCGATTATTCCGAAAATAATCGAGTGGCTAATAAACGCCGTGATTAGCATAATCGCTGTACGACGAGATTTAACGATCGCGCGAGTGATTACGTATAATGTTATAATTTGAAATGATATAATTTCCGTTTTACGTGCACGCGGCACGGAGATTAACACCGGCACGAAATTTGTTGCCTCTACAGCGGCAACTACAAGATTATTCGTCACACATTGAAGAGAAACGCGTGTGTATACCTGATATACGATCGTGCATACACGTATATATCAAAGTGTAATATTCTTCGTGCGGATTAATGCGGCAGGCTTTATATGTATATCTTTACAAGTACCTGATGCGTAAATCGTTTTATCACCATGGCAATGGCTTAACGTAGTACGCACGTTAATTACTTTTGCTTTACGACTGGCGAGACACGCAGTAATGAGAAAGAAAAAAGGGAAATCCGGGAAAAGTCTGCGCAGCAGTAGATTACTCCCATCCGAAGGATCTTCATGATGCAAATTACTTAAGATTCTTGTATTTATTTTCTAAGAGCTTTAACAACCGGTAGTCTGCGACAACATTTTGCGACGAAATTTTTACACGTCTACGGAAAATTACACATTGCGTCTCGAGATAGCCTGTGTTATTGTCATTTGCATCATATTTGTCAAGTGCTTCGTGATGAGCCGTCCTGTTAAAAATATCTACAAAATAAATACAAAATGAAATATAAATTTGAAATAATTGCTTTTATATAATATTTCTTGCAACCTTTATCAATGAAAGAAGAGATCCTTGAAAAGGTTGTATTAAACTGAAATTAATTCAAGTTACGTGAAATAACCTCGCCACAGTGCCTATCTATCCGATCGTCACGCTCGACGATCCACGCATTCGAGGATTTAACAATCCAGAGATCAACGATCCCAAAATTTCTCTTGAGCACAATATTTGAAAAAAATCTGATTTAAATTATTGATCCGAAAATGCACGAAGGTATGTGAATCCACAAGAATCGCATACGGTCGAGTTTTAAGATCTTCTAAACTGATCTTTGGGGAGAATCCTCGCGTCGATCATCAAGCCTCTAGAACACCATCCATCGTAATGGCTCCCTCGAGCATGTTTCTTTTTGGCAGATCGCCTGCGCCGCATGGGAAGAGCTTCCCGCAATTATACCATCGGCTGGGCCATACATTGATGATGATCGCCACGATGATGGCAACGACGATGACGAAGACGATAATACGCCGATGATCGCGCGTGAGTTTCTCGCTGCGTCTCGAAGCACCGTAAAATGGTCTGTACACGTACATATATGGTATCATACCACCCGCAGTGGATCTTTAGATTCCTTCGGGAATCTTCGTATGCTTTGAATCCTTTGGATCTTGAAATTAACGCGAACGTTATTCGAAACGAGATGCTCGATTACGGAGGAGAAATCAGAAGCTTCGCATAATGCGATAAATTAATTTATGCGCGTGAATGTCTTTCGTCTTTGTTGCTCTAAAAAAAAAAATACATATAAATTTATATAAATATGTAGACCTGCACTAAAACTATGTCGCGCGAAAGATACTCTAATGACGATGTAAAACAAATTTAAATCGTTATATGGATGTGACATGTGACACACATACACACGGTATTGTTGATTTATATAATATATAATAAGACGAATATATATTGTCTTGTAACTGTTAAGTCATTGAAGATGACTCGCGGTGGAAAATGATGCGAAGGGAGCCGGGATAACTTTTTTATCGTAATGCGCACCAAGATTTCCGTTCATCGCTTTAACGTGGCTATCTAACTGGATTATTTAAATATTTATACACGAAAGAAAAGTTCTCTTTTAATTAATTCGACCAAACTTTTGCTCGAGTGCATCGCTGAACGATCGGGTACAAACTATATTCTGTGTTCATCTTTTTTTTTTTTTTTTTTTTTTTTTTAAGAGAATCTTATTATTTCACGTTCTATCTCGTTGTTACTAGCTACTGCCTGGTCATTGTAAAACGATTCATCGTCTTTTATGCTTTAGAAAGCAAATAATTATTCAATTAATAGTTCAATTAATAGTTTTAATACGTCACTATGTAATTGAAATGTATCTATGTATCGAAAAATTTATAAATATAAGAAATTAGGATTTTTTTTCTCCAAAAATTAATCGAATCGATATAATTTTTAATGTAGAATGATTATTTCTCTAATTGTTTTCACATTGCATTATTTAAGTACCAATTGTTGTATTTTAATCAACTTTGTGCACAATGTGTAAACATCATGACAATGCATTGAAATAGATTAATTAGCTGCGAACACACGCGCAAATTTTTCATTAAAAATAAATATCGAACGCGATACCACCGACCCGATCGTTCCGCTCGGTATAATAATGTCACTGTAATATTCGCTATAAGGTACTAACTCGTTGTTTAAATTAATGATTAATTTAGTTATACATATATATGTAATCAATCTGTACATATTGTCTTCAATGTCGTTTCTAATCGATCGATGTAACCTACGTGTTATAACGAAAGAGGGAATGGATTATTATCGCGTAAGAGAGAGGGTGGCATAGTTGTCTCTGTGTATGCATGTCCGTGTGGATGAGAGGGAGAAAAAGGAATCGGGAGTGCGTGAGTGACGATAATTATACGGTTTTACCAAGATAGATCACGCGCCGATTGGCATATCGCTGTATACTTGAGCTTGTTAAATGCATGGAAGTACGCGGATCAAAAATACTTTTGCACTGTACTTGTTCGTTTATGAGTAGAATTGTAGAAAATGTATCGTACAGATGTAAAATATATTAATTTGACGTATTAAATTCTTATGTAATCTACAAATCTCTCTCGAGTATTTTTGCATTTTTTGGACGTTACGAATTTTTACGGATCTATCGGTTCTCTTCGGATTCTTTTTAAAGCCGCGCCTAAAAAGATTTTTAAACATTTTTCAATAAATGACGTGCAAAGTTCTCTTTTGAAAAGCGTAGGTGGACTCGTGTAGTTGACAAGGGTAAGAGAAATCGATAACGAAATAGTATTGTAATCATATTTGTCTCGCTCGCCTTCCGAATGCATTCTTGATTGTTGTAAACACATTCGCGTATCTATTTACTCTGTCACACGGAACACTCATTACATTACGTACACAACATACCGAAACTCAAATGCACGCGCACGATCAAAGCCTTGTTGCTAAGCCTTATCTTGTAACACGAGGTTTAAATAAACTGCTGAGAAAAAGACATTGTCTTGTGTTTCGTTTATTGAATACGAATCCATTTCAATCTATACAAGATGTAACGAATCAGTGCAAAGATTAATATTGTAATCTTCAATCTTTATTCACGCAAAGGATTAGATCATCTTGAGTTGGCAAATGACTCGATCTCTTGCGTTGTTCGATGCACAGAGCATCGCTACATTTTATGTAAAATTGCGTGACACGGAATAAACGAGAGAATGCAAGACTTCTCTTCCGATGTCGATGTATATATATATATATATCGCCGTACATATTTACCTTTTATCCAGTGCCTGCGACATCGTGGACTATTCAATAAAACGTCTTTTCTGATCTGTGTCTTGTAGGTGTTCTTTATTCTTTGTAAAATCATACAGCAAAAGCGATCGGATCTACACAGTGTAGTGAAGCGAGATACAAGTGAAGTGAACGTTCGCCGGACGAATGACGGATTTTTAAAGGAGTTTGCTTCTTCCCATCGCCTTGATCAATTCTTAATCCGAGGGATGATTTTTTTATCACTGAAAAAAATCGACGAATGCTATTCTTCTTCTTACGTTAGAATTGATAAAACATAAAATATGTTCGGGATTTTAAGGATTTTAAATTGCACCTAACGTTTAGATATTTTCTATTTCTGCTTATCAAATCCACGAATTTTTGTTTCAATCTTCCAATCTAGGAATTCTTTTGGATTCTTATTCTCGAATAAAGAATTGATATGCCGTTGATCCGTCCGCAAACTCCAGATACATATATTCCTTTCATCTTATTTTTTTCTTTGAAAATTCGATTGGCCCGAATAGCGCAAGATCCTTTCGTGAAAATCGTTGGCTAAAAGCGCTATTTCTGCGCGCGTGACTTAGAAACTTAATAACTAATTCAGACGAAAAATACAAGTAATGCAAATATACGTATATACCTAGATTCTATAATAAAAACTAGAAGTTTCCTCGAGATTAATTATATCCAAAATATATGTTACCTAAGATCTTATCGTCGGCTGGTGACGGTGGTGTGGCAATTAAATATCCAGCGATGTCAATTCATGATCGTGTGATGAAACAAATGTCTTTTATACAAATAGCTCTGTGGTACATAAAATTTGATTTCCCCTACTATAGTATAGGTATATATATATATATATTATATATAATATACATATATATTTATATTATATATTTTTATAATAGAGCTAATAAATAATAATAATCCCTTTTTTTAATAGTCAGTTGTAATTTCTGTGAAACCCGCCTATCCGGCGCTTAAAATACGATATCGTTTACACGTTACGTTATACGCTCTTCGCATTCGAAATTTTTAAAAACCACGATCTCTCTCTCTCTTTCTCTCTCTCTCTTTTTCTCCTGCGTCTTTCTCCCTCTCATCCCCCTTATGTCACTTTACGTACTCTATATCCTTACATATTAATGATTTACCGTAATGTGTGTGACGTGCTTAAGTTACTGGTTGCACTTACTGGTATCACCTGCCGCCAGAGCGGGGAGTCGCGCTCTCCCCGGTGTGGCCGTAACTTTAAAAAGCTTAAAAACCCCCGTACTTAGGCTAACGAACGTTAACGTCGCGGCGCGTGGCGCCGTTTCATCGAGTCCGCTCTAAAAAGCGCGCCGCTCGGCCCGACACTTTAGTGCCGTTCCTGGACTACGCGCGTAAATGCAATCAGTAGCGTATCCTTGCGTCCTTAAATCGTCGGTTCCTCGGATCCTCAGGCTTCGGACAGCCGCGAAGGAGACCTCGAGGGACTTTTGTAAAGCTACGGGGGACCCCAGGAACCTCGGATTGTCGAGCCCTTAGATACGAAAAATGTGAAACATGTGGCTCGAAATGATCGTGCGACACGAGGACAGAGGGAACGTCTGTCTTCGTGAGAAACTTTTTAAATGCGCGCGCGTGTGTCGTGTGTAAATGTGTGTATGTTATGCGTGTACACAGGAAACTTGTCGATGCTGCACGTTCGCGATCATTTTCGCCAGTGTTCTCGCGAGATGGAACGGTAGAAGAGTAAAAATGGCGACAATAAAAATGACAGCAAGGACTATCTTCGTTACCACGATGACTATATATATATATATATATATATAGGAGCCGCAATTAATTTACGTCGCGTCTGTTTGACGTGTCAACGGATTTTCTTAATAATTAACGCTTTCAAACGGAACAGTTTCTAAAGTTGGAATGCATAAGAATGATACTATGATGGAATTTTGATCTTAATAAGCGCCGCCGAAATCTGAACACCCATAGACCCATATAAATCCACAGTCTCTCCTCGAGTTATTTTACTTTTATATTTATTCAGAACTTTTCTCTAGCAACATTTTTAAGATCCAGAAGTTACAAAAGATTTTCAGGGATCTTCAGATATCCAGATCCAGCAAACGTTTCATGCAATATCTACTACTCACGTCTACGAGGATTGCGCGGCTATAATTCTACTTCTTTTCGTAATTAATATTTATAATTAATAATTATTCATAAGGATAGCTAAACTTAGCTGTATCTGTTCGCCATATCTTCGTTTGCTAATTAGAAATCATAATTGTACTTTCACGTAATTTTTTTTCATTTTTTTCTTTCGTAAGATCAATCGAACGTCATTGACGGTGAATCAAGACGTGAGAGAAGATTTTCAGAATAGCGCGTTAAAAACGTGAGATTCTTTAATAGCTACGTACAATGAGATTCTTTACAAACGCGGCTTGTCTCTGATTCGTCGGGAATGACGAACGATTGCCCACTCAATAATTTATATTTTTTGCAACATTATTAGTAACATCACCGGCGGCGTGTGCGTCTTTTTTCGTATAACGTTCACGAGCGTGAAAATTTAAATCTCGCGTGGCATTTAATTTCTCGTCTCCCGCGTGTCGACTCGAACATTCCCCTTTCGATTTATGGCAGCCCTGAAACCTCAGCTCTTTTACACTGACTGCGTGGCTGTCGAACAAGCTGAACATTAAGACACATCTACACGGAGAAATAGAGTTTCGCTATTTTTTCTTTTTTTTTTTTTGGTTCATCTAACGAGCAAACAGTTTTAATTAGAGTTTATGTATATTTTATATAGGTAATAATTGTAATAATAATAATAGTAATAATAATAATTCGTAATATCAATTCATCCCAACAACAAGTTTAAGTTATCATCTGATAGTGTATTTTGTTTTCTCTTTCTCTCCTTTTCCCTTTATCTCTCTTACCATCCTTTTTGCGGTTCATTCTTCTTTAATCGATACTTTCTTCCTCATTAATATATATCTCTGTTTATTATATATATCTTTATTTGTTTTATATATATGTATAGACTGATATCAACACGTATAACATCGACCTTTTTTTATTTTTGTTAAATCAAGATCTTGTGAAGAAGGTTGTGGCTACTTCGATTACGCGCGCCTGCTAATTACAAATTCTCTTTTTATACGTGACTAACGCGAACAAGTCACCGGATCGTGTTGCGAAACTCAACGACCGATCCAATCAGTCAATTGTCTTTCATTTAGGTTTCGGCGTTTTATCAGTTGAACGTGAACTATTCTGCGTTTCTTGACGCTTCGCCTTTAAGGAGGACACGAAATTTCGAGGTTTTTACCCTCCTTCGAGTTTCGACCGTGCCAAGTACTCGTTTTCTTTTTTTCAACCCTTTCGCCGCGAAGGAAGCGTACGCTTGCAGCCGGGACTTTATTCGTGAAAGAATGTGAAATCGATTTTTCCATAGCGAAGACGGAAACTAATTGGAAATCTTCGTTTGTCTTTTAATATTCAATATCCTTTAATATTCAATTCTTCAGGAGATAAGCTTACACGAGAATATTCGTTAAGAGAATATTAATTGAGGAATGAAGTTTAGCTTCTTTGTGCTTTCGTGTCCGTCTGGCTTCAAAATACAAAGAATATTTAAAAATTTAATAATTCAAGAATCAATCTTCTCGCGTAAAGTGTCACGATTACAATATATTTGAGAAATAATTTTACCGTCAAAAATTTATGTCTCTGTCACGTTTATAAAACATTTTACTTATTTCTCAGCCGGGACTTTAATCGGAGAATATATCGTGCAGCGAAAGGGTTCGATATTTGCTTTTCGTTTCTAATGGTAAGTTTATATAGTTTCTTCTTGGCCGCGTTCTTCGAAGTTTTCTTTCGAGACGGATCCTCGCTATTGCTTACACGCATACAGCTAAGGTCTTAATGGTAAATTCGCTATTTTAGATTCGATAGACAAAGTATATGTGTGTGTATGTATATATGTATGTATGTGTTTGTGTGTGTGTAATGCAATGAGCATGAATGTCGAAGGAACAGAAAGTTCATTGGAATATAGTTATTACGATGAAGCGGTAGAACTCTCGTGGCACCGAAAGTAGACATGGTCACGGAATGTCTTCCCGTTCCCGTAAAAAATAGGCGAGTCAAACGAAATGAATAGGAACTCATTCTGTAGAAAATTATGAGTCGTCTTTATAACGTCAGAAGGATTAATTGAACGATATCTCTCTTCGACTTTTCTCCAATTCATTGCCATTCTCTTCTTAATTTGTCTAAATGCGGAATAAAGTGATTTATTTCTTTAATTTCTTTTTTACTTTATATAATTTTTGTAGCTTTTTTTACTCTATAGAATGCACTTTCCTATTAATTTCTTTGAAGATTTACTCAATCCTAGAAAACATACTTTTAATTACAACAACTTGCAAGACTTAAGGAAAGCCAGAGAAATTAAGCGTCTCTTTTTCTGCTCTCTCGCGCATTCGTTATTCGAGATATCTTATTTTTTTATCTTTTATTTTTATTTTTTTTTTTTTTTTTTGCTAAATACGTGTATAATATACATCTTGACATACCTACTTTTTTCAGGGACCATTTTTAAAACTGCTTTTAAGGTAGAGCTCTCTACCGCTTCCTCTTGTTTTTTTTTCTTTGCTCTTCCTTTGATAATAATAATCGTACAAAAACTCAACCGCAAGCCCGCGATATGCGCAACGTGCGTGGCAGTATTCTCGGTAAGTAGACAGTGTAAATACGATATGATACATAGCAGTGTGCCGTGAACCCTTTACACGAAACGACGAAAAGGGAACGATATTAGCTAGAAATACGTCAGTGTTGATTCGATCGTGAGACTATCGTGAATCAATACGGCGACGCTACATTGATTTAAGCCGACCGATTTCCGAGAATCCAAAGAAATGGAAGTTCGAAAGTCTGTGGGATCTACAAGCATCCGAGAATCCGCGATTCTCTCTGGAAAAGTCGAAGAATCGAAAATTTACGGATTAGATGATTTATGAAAAATCCGCGGCCATCTTGAGATCCGACAGAATCCGACGATTCAAACTCAGAGGATCCAAGGATCGAGGAGCATTCTGAAGGATCCTGAAATCGGTTCGAATTTCCGAGACGAAAAGATCCGATGGATGGATCTGTTGTTCCAAAAGCGCTTACTCATTCGCTCTGCTAATTAATCGAATTGGTAACTGCGCGTTCGATTTTATTACCGTCGTCAATCGAAAAGGACGATCAACATTATTGCACTTGGTTTTATTACTGTCGTCGCTTCGGAAGGAAAGGATTATCGTATTTTACGTTTACGATTAGTGTCGTATAAAATCGTAGGATTCCGCGAAGGAATCGCGAAGTCTTGTTCTCAATGTTACATGGAACTTTCTGATGTATCATTAAGTTCTTATTATGGCTCTCTACAACGTATGAGGTCAAAATTAAATCGCATAATTACCGATCGATCGATTATTCGACTGGTTTAAATTTCGTTTAAATTGATTTATATAATAGAAGAAGAGTAAATATTTCATTTCTCGATTCAAATAACAAGACAGAGTGGCGATCGATGGTCAAACCGCGATTTCATTTGCACCTCACGCGTCCACTCGTTCACTCGGTAACAATCGCATGATGTACGGGATGCAATTCGTCGTTGCCCTTGTACTCGAAGTAGGTTCCTCGAAATCTGCACCTCTCTCCCTGCCCATTTATTTTCCCACGCCCCTCCGTCCCTCAATAAATTTATTTAGATTATTTGGTACGATTAACCATTTATTTGGTACGATTAACGCTTCTAACCCGTAAAATTGTCCCGCTACGTCCACGGACGATTACTCAATAAATAATAGGCTATCCTGGCTTTTTTTTGAGGCCGTGCGATCGCGAATGCTCGATCGTCCTTCCGTCGTTCCCTCGATGAGAGCGCCTCTCGTTCTTCGAGCGATCGTCCAACGTCTTCTTCTCAACTTTCGTGTCTTCCTCTCTCGTTAACGATTTTTTTAGAGTTACGTATACGCAAACGAATCCGCGGATCCCTAGACCCCCTCGAATCTTCGCGTATCCTTCGATCCTCGCCGCTGTCCTCGGCTCGTCCTTAGGTCCCTGGATCTTTGGTCTCGCGGATTCTCGGGTTTCTGGATTCTTTAGATTCTCTTCCCCTTCCCCGCTTCTTCAAGCTGCGATCCAACGTCAGGACGATCGATCGTGCGCCTTCTCGCGTTGCGTCGTCGCCGGCGCCGCTTCTCGCGCGAGAACGATCGTAAACGGCCCCAAGGAAATTCCTAATAGACGCATCTGCATAGACGCGAGACGATGCGACGCGTTCAGGTTGCTTACAATTGCCACTTAGCTATCAATATCATGATCAGGTGAGGTGCGAGAGTGGCCAGCGATGCTCCGCCCGTCACCCGGACATCACTATCCTTGAAAAATACGCCATCGATCACGTGGATTATTCCGTTGGTGCACTCGACGTCTGGACGTACGACACGGATTTTGGTATGCTGCCATTCCAAAATGTAGCCTGAAAAAAAACAAAGAGCGAAAGAGAGATTGACGATGATCTCTAAACCTGGGTGCTAGGGGCTGGTTAGTTACAAAAATGAGGAGATTGTGAGAACTGAAAGCGCACTGCGATGCAAAATGCAAAGCTCCCTCGACCTGACGATTACCCGGAGGATCGCCAGATCTCGAATTAACAACATGAGGATGGATGGATACAAGTCTACAAATCCTAAGAAAATGTTATAGAATGCTAAAGGAATATATAAAAATTGATAAATTGTAAAAATGAAAATTCAACCAAAAATTTTCAAAAATCAACGCCCTAATAATATATTTGACAAACTAAATAATAATATATCTAGTAATGAGAGGACACATAACAGTGTCGTAAAATTATAATTAAAATTCTGTTGGCGTATTATCATCGCTAAATTCAACAATGCGAGAGTCATGAATTTAAATTTTGCTGTTATTCTTAATTTCAATTTTTTCACATTTATGGAGTTTAAAAGATTTTACAAATTTAATTTATACAAGCATTGATTGCTGTTAAATCTCAAATATGCAGTAAATAAACAGTTTCTCACTTAAAGATTTAAAAGAAGAGCTTTCGGTGTCTGTGAAGCAGGCACGATAATCTACGAATTATAAAAAAGTACCAAGAGTTCTGATAGCACTTTTCATAGTTCTACAGTTTCTGATAAAAATTAAAAAGAGTTCCGCATTTCTTATATTAAAATATCTGAATTGAAAAAATATGCTAACTTCGCGAATCTACGATCTCACCCCGCGAATCACGACACTCTCCCTCTAAAGTACTAAAACGCGTTGAAAATTATTATTTTTGACAACAATTCTCGATAGTTCTGCTATAGTTCAGCCTATGCTGAATGATATATGCAATTTCTGACCGATATTTCAATAATTAATAATTTTTTGTGAATTTTTAATGTACTCAATCAGCAGGACACTTAGTAAAAATGTGTCGTGCTGATGATTTTCCATAGTTTTTACAGCAGTTCTATATAAGTTCTATCCTTTAAAAACATTTATAGAGTTCCGACCGTTTATTATTTCATAAATAATTTTTTACAATTATATTATTAATTGTTAGAATATCGTTAAAATATAGAGGGAAGAGTGTCGTGCTAGATTCGCGAAGTTAACACGACATTTTTTCGATTTCGATTTTTTAATATGAGGAATGCGGAACTCTTTTTAATTTTTATTAGGAACTGTAGGATTATGAAAAGTGCTATCAGAACTCTTAGTATTTTTTTTAAATTCGTAGATTGTCGTGCCAGCTTCACAGACACGAGTCTTTCGACAAAACTAAATAGTTTCCAAAAAGAATGATCTTACTCTTTAAAGTATTAAACTAGATGTTGGATTGAAAATTGAGATCGAAAGTAAGAGAAAATGTTCGATTCGAGGTAACACATTTGTGATTCCAACGTCACTTTCTTTCAAATTACTCAAGCATCTTTTCCTTTCGGTTAACAAAGTCGTCTACTTAATCCTTTCCTCGCCCATGTGATCCTCGTTGAATCGCCACGTAGGATCGTAAAACGGAGCAGAGTTAAAGGGCTTCGGGAAAACGCTTCGGAAATTCGTTCATAGACGAGAATGACCGGCTGAGCACGTAGCAATTAGCGCCGCGAATAATCAAGGAATTTGCATTTAAATGGTCGAAAGGTGCATAATAAATTGCGCGACGGTTCCGGCCCATAATAACGCGCGTTCGTTTCTGGTTTCCACCGATCCAACGCCAAGATTGCCTTCGCGAGTTGACATATTTGTCACGGAAAGTCTCGGACCGACGTCTCGTTCTCAACAACGTGGAAAATTCTGCGCGGACGTAGACATTCGTCATGCTCCGCATCGTAACGCGATGAAAAGGACTCTGTTTATGAGAGTCCGCGGGAGAATTTCCTGAACCTCGTACGGAAGTGGACGTTGCACTTCGCAGCAGTCTGACCGGAAATGAAATCCTTTCCGTAGTCTACACGCGTCGCTCTTTACGTGAAAAGTAGCCGACTCGCAAAGCAGCGCGGACTTGATACAAGTTAGTTGCTGCCTCAAGAATTTCCAAATCAAATCAAACGAAATATTGCGTTAAAATTGCACTTTTGTTTGTTAAAACTGTGCATAAACTGTTTCGTTTATTCCATAAACTCATTATTAGCGAGCATTATTTATAATTCGGTCTCGACTGATGTAACAAGTTAATTATACCGCTTATTTCGATGTTAATGATGACAGCGGGCTTTTCACAGCTTTAACATATAAAGGGCGTTTAAAATCTTTGTATGCTCGAAAACCGATCAAATCGATTCTTTTGAAATAATTCGCTCTTATCTCAAATTACAAAAAGTGTAAGCGTTATTGAAAGATCTCTCTTTTCCTCGTTTAAGACGTCGCATTTGCGCGATTTTCGCGGGTGGAAAGGGCGAAATTCTTATCCCACACGTCGCGCGAACACGTTTGCGGTTGTCTTTTTTTCGCGCACAATACATGGAAATCGCGAAAGCGACGAGAGGGGTGACTCCTCATTCGCCCCGCGACAAAGGTAATGATATCCTATTGCCGTTGTTGTAGCAATTAATTTACGCGCAACAATGAGCGTACTCCTCGTCGTAATTAATTCCATCGTTCACAATGAGTATTGTTGCCCTCGCCGCAATTAATACGCTTTTGTTTCTCGCGTAGCGCGCGTTTCGTCCCACCTCGCTCTCTTTCACTGTCTTTTCTCTCTCTCTCTCTCTCTTTCTTTCTCTCTCTCTCTCCTTCTCTCTCTCTCTCTCTCTCTCCCTCTCTCTCGATTCGGTGACTTTTGACCTCGCGTTAAAGCCTCCGCGAGTGTCAGCTGCGACTATAACGAAAATTGTCGGCCACAAGCGTGAACGCGTTCTATTGAATCGAGAATCCGCGTTTTAATTGGTCGTGAAAATCGGGGTGAAAATCTCTCGCTTTCCCGGGTCGTTCATTGTATTGCGCGCGCACACACACTTATATTATTTAATAGCGAGTCCGATCATCAGGTAGAGGCTCTGAAACGTCGAAAATAACAAAAGCGACTTTCGAATGAGAGGCTCGCGAGGCATAGTTTAAGAACGTCTGCACAAAATGACTACAATGCAATATAATTAAAATAATAAATCGAAATAAATTAAACCAAGCATCGACGGCTCATGGCCTGTCGCTAATCTCAGTGCGAACGAGGTCTATGCAGTCTCGCGCCGTGCGAAGTTCGAATTTTATCGATGAAGGACGCCTCTTCGCCTCTCCCACGTCAGATCCCGTTCGTAGATCCTTTTCGTATACGTAAGCGTAGCATAAAACTGAAAATCGTATGTCAGCGTAAGCGTAAACTTGGCGACACGATCACTGGTAAGCTGAATCAGAACGTTGCAGCATCCAAGGATCTAACGATTCCAGGATCTAGTGAGTTTAGCAGTTTGGAATTCAAGGATCTAGGGCTCCTTCTGTTTAAAAGAGAATTCTTTTTAAGACACTATATATAGCTGTAATCCTTGAAAATTTGTAATGAAACAAAATTATCTAAATGATCAAATTTAGAATCAAAACTATAAGAATTTAAAATTATAAGGATCCAAAAGATGGCCAGAAATTTCGCGGTACGCGTGCTTAAATATTCACGCATTTCACTCTCTTAAATGAAATCAAAGAATTATCATTTCTATAAAGTAGTTGCAGTCATAAATATAATATCAAAAACGGTAAATTCTCATTGACAAAAATCAGTTTTTAATGATAGCAGATGATTTTCCAATGAAATTTTATTATCATAATCAGTGAAACGTGAGAGAACAGACTAAAATGTGAGTATTTTCGGTGAAAATCGAGTGAAACGATCTCTCATCTTGGAAGAAATTTTCTCGTTACTTGAATCGATGACATATGCACTGATTCAGTTTAAGAGAGCAAAACTCAAATATCTGACAAGATTGAAAGCGAACTTCGCCGGAGTGAGTTACGCACGTAGTTTCGTCCTCTCGCGCACATACATACGCGTGACAAAACGCACAACATGTACGCGCGAGCGTGTAACGCGGTGCGTAATAGAGGGGTGCACTCCTTCACACTCAGTAAGTGCTTGCTCGTACAAAGTGAAAGCGCTCGTGTGTCGTCGACGACGTTTAAACACACTTAACTCAACTCACCGGATGGTTCTGGACGGATTGCGTTTTCGTCGTACTTCTCATCTACATGTAATCAGACAGCAACCAGGTTTGAGAGTGTCGGTGACAGGTGGTAATGTGACGCGACGACGGTTTCGACGACGAGAACAATCACGTGGCAGACGCGACAGTCGATCTCGATAGAGCGTTAACGTTTAAGCGGGTGTTTCGTCGCTCGGGGAACGCGAGCGTCGACGGGGAAACTTTCCCTAATGTATGTGTACTTGGCGAATTTACACACTAGTCTAGTTTACGCGAGCGAAAGATCCCGCGCGCGTCAGACGAACGAAAATTTACGCGTCAGACGACCGACACCTTGAGGTGACGTATAAGATATGTATATATGCTGTGCACAAGTAAAAGGGTGCGGATACGTACGGTGTACGTTACGAAATGAAACTACTCACTTTCGCCACTTTCCTTAACGCGAATCTTTAGATTGTCCCTGCTAGTCGGGAGCTTGACGGTGTCGTTGCTCAGCTCTCTCAACTTTGCCATCGTATATGCCTGGTCCGCTATTACGAGGTGCCGCTCCAAGATCTGCTTCGTCTATAAATGAGTCATACATTTTTATGATTAAATGCAGTAGTGTAATTTTTTCCTTTTAATATAAGTGACTCTTCTTGCCATCGCGTATTCGTGGTTTTTAAGAATTTACGAATTGAAGGACTTGAAAAATGCAAAAATATGGAAATGAAAAAAATTTCGAGAAAAACGAAAGCCTCGATGGGAACAAATTTGAATATGAGATCTACATGCGACGTGCACTTAGAAAGATTACTCACATGATAACTAAATTCAGGCATGAAGAGTTTCTTGACAGCTGATGGATAGTTGTTCCCTGCATCAAACCAGGCTTTGTCAATCGGAGCAAAATACGTGAATCGCTTCGTCGTATCGTTCAGCTGATCGTTGAAGTTGCGTCGTTGGCCCAGAAAGTATGTCGAGCTGAAAAATACAAAAGGAAAAAAACGATTTCGACGGTTAGTTTCGCGCTGATACCTCGAGGAAAATCGTGAAACGATTTTACAAACGGTAAATAACATCGTAATGCCTCTCATCCGCGTTGCTTAAATCGGTTTAATTGAATCATGCGGGTTATAAGCACCGGGGAAATTTTTCCGAGGCAGGGGATTGCGAGTAGACCGCGGTAACATCGTGATGTTTACTCTATCCGCTTCCGAAGGCTCACCTTCGCGCGCTGCCTCTCTTACGGGATTAATCCGCCCTCTACTACCCGGTGGTGCTTGATCTCTCTCGCGTTTTCTCTGTCTCTCTCTCTCTCTCTCTCTCTCTCTCTCTCTCTCTCTCTCTCTCTCTCTCTCTCTCTCTCTCTCTTGCATCGCTCTTTGTAAAGCCGCCGACCTCGCTCTCGTCTACCTGCGGGGAATGCACCGTCTCTTCCGCGGATATCAATTATAATTTTAAATTAGAAGATAATCCACACAACGCTTTCTTCGCGCGGAAATCTGCCGACGGTATGACGGGGCACGATTGTTGGTCGGCTATTTGGATCAACGTGCATAAACAATCTTCTCACGGAGAGAGAATCTCGGTTCTTCATTGTTGCATCTCGGACTTTGTAAACCGTAGAGTCCCGCTCGGGTCATCAGCACTCCTTAAATCTATCGTTAAACGAGAGATCCGCGCGAATCTCTCGTCTGCGAATATTTAAATCGCAAAAATTGTATGGCTCTCTAACATTTTGGAATCCTCATATCTTTTTTAGATTCCTAATGTAAATTTCAGCATCGATTCCTCGCCAACGCTTCAACTCCTTGAACTAATCGTTTCCTGACGCCACCGGGAGATCCCTGAATATTCGGCTTCCTGTTGGATCTCGAATTCTCTCGATCATCTAGCAGAGTCGATCCTCTGAATTCTAGGACGACAGGATGCTGGAGTTAAACGGGATAGATCTGGATGCAATGGAGAGTACGACGAACCCGATATGTTCCAGGTCGGTAATCTCGCCGAGTGAGTTTATTTGCTTTTTGCGTGGCGCTTCGAGTGCCGACCGTTAAATTGGACAAGGAGGCAATATCGGAGCACGGCAGGCGGGAACGGAAGGCCAGGTTACGAATTTAATAGGTCCAACCCTGCGCAACTATGCAATTCCGGGCGTAAGACTCTTCACGATTATAGTTTTTACGTCGACGATACTGTCGAGCCGATGGGTTCGCGGTAATTGGAATGAGGATTTGTTGCGTTATTTTAATTAAAGTCGAACGAGAAGAGGACGAAGAGGATGGGGTGGATGAATCGTGCACAGGAAAGAAAGGTTTGCCGGGGTCACGTGCAACGATAAGATTTTCTTTCAGGAATGGATAAGGCGTGCAACGGTGGTAAAGATCAAATCTACCCGCGAGAGCTCGTACAAGTAGCTGCTTAAAAATGAACATTGTTCTAATTATCGATGATAGAGACACTCGCGAAAGATAGACATGCTATTCTCGTAAGAAGATGAAATCATATCATTTCGTTGTGAGAATAAAAATCAGATAGATCTACGTATTTTATTCTCTTACGAGAGAAGAGAGTACGAAACAACGGGGAAATTTTAGAAATCAAAGTGTAACGATTTATATCATTTATATTCATGTTATTAAAATATATATAAATCATGTTATTAAAATATATATAAAACTAAAGTCTTTAATGAGAAAGAGAGAGAGAGAGAGTGCCATTTATAAATAAAATTAAAATTTAATTTCAGATATCAAAATGCATACGATAGATATTTCTTCAGCCTTCTTCTTTCATTTAATGCAACTAACGCTTCGATGTTCGAGAGCTTTCATAAGACGAGAATCGATGATCCGAGTCGCTTAGCATAAAGATGAATAAAGATGAAGAAGAGGAGGAGAGAGACTTACTTGAGCATCGGATCGGTCTTGAGTTTGTCGAGTACGGTGGTGTAGGGGACCCCGAGCAACCTGTCGATTATGTGAATAATCCCGTTGGTGGCTGCGATGTTGGCGGTAATAATGGTAGCGTTCACACCGCCGCCTTCCACGGTGACGGTCTGGTTTCCCCTCGGGCCTTCCACGACGTTGAAGTAGAGCTTCTTCCTGTCGGCAGCGGTCTGTACCTGCAAGAATTCGTGCGGAAGCTCTGTAAAGGAATGCTCGCAACGTGGCAACGCGTAACTCGCGTCAAATACCGGGGTCACGTGCAGTGCTTTAAAAGGATTACATTATACGTTGAAGCTGCCACGCGATGCAGCAAGACAAGGGAGAGGACGAGAAGAAACGAGCTTTTGAATAAGAAGAACAGATGCTAAGAGAAGATGCTAAGAGCTTCAATAAACAAGTCGATTCTTCGAAGGCATAATCGAATTGGTCGACTGATTATCTATTAAAATATGCCAATATAATCTGTTCGAGATATTAATTTATAATTTCGATAACGTATATAATTTGCAGGAAAATGTTAGACTTGATTTAATTTTCTCGAAATTTGGAAACTATGCAAAGAATCGAGCGAGCGAGAGAAACCTCGAAATCTTTCACCTTCGGAGAATTGACATTTTGTGCACAAATACAGAAGGGATCGCGCATATATATTTGAAATCGGAAAGAAGACGGAGAATTAAAAGTTCTTTGTGTTTCCGTGCTCAAAAATTTTCCGCACACATATATATATATATATATATATATATATATATATACATGCACGAGAGTGGAACGAAGAAGCAAAGTTTCGTGAGGCAGTTAGATATAAGTTTTCTACAGAGTTACTATTATGCATGTTCGCTATCGAACATACGCCAATAAATATATCAATTTCACAACCTAAAGTCTGCGAAAAAATTCGACTAGTCATACTTCAATCTGTTGTTATTAAGATACAAATTGCGTTCCTGATATTTTAATCATTATCTCAATAAAATAATTCGGCATAGTTATTACAGAGGATCAAAATCGAATCATAAAATTGCACAAAACTCAAGATAATATTTGTAAAAATATTGTATTAATATTGAAAAATTTAAATTTTATCTTATAATAGTTTTGAGTGAATTTTGACGGCAAAAAGTTTTTCTTTCTCTATTGTTTTGTCTCGATTTTATTAACGTTTTTTACCTAATATTGCTTGAAATAATAATACTCAACATCATCTTTTTAATAAAATTGAAGACAATTATTATTATTTGTATCACTTGCATTTGCTTCACAAAATAAAATATATATATATATATATTCTTTGTTTTTATGAAAAAGCAGAATGCAAACTCATACAATCAGAGAACAGTATACAGCATTATTGTTGTATACGAAGTTTTGTGAAGCTAAATGTTTATATAAAATTTATTATTTTGTTCATTATATTAAATTTGTTCTTTTTAAATTTGCTCTACACTTTTATTTATTAAATATAAAATAATTAAAAATATTAAACAAGATTTTTAAAGTTCATATAATATAATGTATGTAAATTTTTCTCATTTAATTTACAAATATACGCTTTAGTTTTTCTTTTAAAGAATATTCATAATCTTAATTTTAGTATTATCTTGATAATTGATAAAAAATCTTATCTTAATCTTATTTTAAATTTCGATACAAGACAATATCAAGACTAGACTTGAAAATCCTCATCGCTCTACATGATCATTTTTAAGAAAAAAGAAAAATGAAAGCCTCCGTCTCTGACAATAGCGTGCCAATTACTTCGCGATTATGAGGACACCAAAGGGAAGTCATCAGTGGTGATAATTTCCGAAAGAAAATCGCGTAATTGCGGACCTGGGACGCGCTTTCGAGTGCGCGATCCGCTTCCTTATCAACGGACGCGAAATTTGATCTCGAGAGACAGCCATGTCAGGGTGCGATAGCAGAGTGAAACGAATCCCTTCGATCCGCCGGATTATCCAGACGATGCGGCGTACGTAGTCGTTCCCGGCAGTGCGAGCTTTTAACTTGCAAATATCGTCCGGATTGCAAATCGGCGCTCTCCATCCGTCAGCCCGTCCCGTCTCTCTTTCTCTCCTCATTCGCTCCGTCGTCGATGTCGGGACGGAAAACTCGGCATAGAGAGCGCCAAGAGGCAACGATCCCTTTTCCGGCTGATCCAGCTCTCATGAATTTCCCGGTGTGCACTCAGAGCCACTTCCGGTTACTTTCTTGACGTTTATCCCGGGATTCTCCCAGCCGAGAGGCTGGGAAAATGTGTACGCGGTGTCTCAAAAAAGATATCACGAGTATATTTTCGGAGCTATTTGGCGTCGATTTTGCTTTAAAATGAAATGTAAAGCCGAGATTCGGAGTAGCTTCTCAGAGAGTAAAAAATTTAGAAAACGTCTTTAGTTTTGTAATGAGTTCTTATTTATTATTATTCCTGCATCTTTAGATTAATGGACGGAAAATTTTAAAATTTTTACAAAGATAAATCTTAATAGAGATATCATCAAAATAAATACTTAATATTATTCCTACTAGAAATTCTGTTAATCTATTTTGAGTCTGTTGAATATATAATAGAATCTGTTTTTCTCGTTGTTTCAGCAGAAATAAATACCACGAATGAATGAAATATTTTCCTTTTATTAATTTAGAGTTTTAAACTGCTTACAGTGGAACATGGCTTAAAGTGGAACGCTTTTAATTTAATAAGGTAGGGATTTTTAAACATTTTGCGATTACTTTTTTGATAAGCACTCATTACTTCCGATATGTCTATGCAATTAATTTCCTATCCATAGCCGATTTTTCAACACTTGCAGTTATCAATTAGCCGCGCGTAAAGTCACATCGCCGTCAGGACTTTTATTTCCGCAGGGAACGATGTTGAATAAATTAATTACGAATACCAGTCGTAACAGAATAAATCACGCTATCGAAATAGAAAAGAAAAACGCGCGAGACGAGAAAGAGATTGAAATTGATTTATCTATCTTTTTGGATTCACTCAGAAATTCGCATAAAATTTGTACGTGTATTTCATTAATAACCAGAAGAGTTGGAAAGTCATTGAGTTAAATTAAATTTATCAAAGAGACTGTGATTTAATTAATAAAATATTTCGCGATCGTACAAGTTAAATATGAAATTGAATCAAGAATTTTAAGAGTTGGACGTTCATAAATCTGAAGATTAAAGGATAAAAGACAGAAAAATGTAAAAAAAAGTGTAGATCCAGAGAAGTCAGTCTTTAGCGATTCTGTAATCAATACTCGAATTACATTCCGGAATGAATTTGAATCTTAAATCAATATTCCAAACGAAATTACGCAAGGCGAGAGATGTTCTCAAAACTCGACACTTTAAATAACGCATGCTTATACAAAGGGGAGAACAGTTTCGCGGGGCGATCGCGACTAAAATTGAATTTTACGTCGCGATGCCTTCCCTTCTGGGAGCGCTTTATCATTTCAGCGTACGCGAGAGAGTCGCTCTTCCGAGACGCGCACGCGTCGGAGACGCGGGGTCATAAAGCATGAAAGCGGTGTAAAACATATCTCGACGATAAATTAGTGCGCGAGCGCACTGGTGCGTGCGGTGCTTAATGCAAATCAGACTGGATAAAAGAAGGAACAAGTACACAGAAAGAAACGTGCATATGTCTGGCGCGCGAAACGCATCGTGCCGTGTGCGTGAGTTGATGCACGGCATGTTTTTTTTCATGAGGGGTTGTTTGCTTATCATATCCTAGGACAGGGGTTATTAATTATTTTCTCTTTCGGCCCCGACGCGCGCGCAGCTTAATGCAAATTGGTCTTGTTGCGAGTGAAGAAAAAAATTATATATTCTTTATTTCTAGCGCGGCAAAAGCGGGTGCCATGAGAGATTAATAAGGTAGCTTAGGGAACGTGTTTCGCGACGTGCGGTAGACCTCGATGCTCTTGCAACTTGCTAACATTGTGCGAAATCTGACATCTTCCAAAAAGGCAGACAACTATTGTGAAAAGTTTTTATTACGACCATATAAAACGGACGAAATACAATGAAGAATACTACGTGAAGAATTCTACGAAAATTGCATGATAATTTTCGCGTAAAATGTAGAATTAAATAATTTGGTTCATTCATATAATATTTCTATTTCATTGCAGAAATATTATTAAAAAATACACATATATTTATTTTATAAGTTTACTTTTACTTTCATGATTATCAAGTAAATATATTTTTAAAAATATATTTATTTTATAATCTCAAATATTCTTTTATAGACATAAAATAAAGATCAAAGCCTCTATTTAATCTCTATTTACTTAAAAACATCAAAATGTTAATCAGTTAATCCGAAATTATTATCTTTATATTAGCATGAAAGATTTTCTAAATCAGTATTTTATCATTGCTATTTGGACTCAAATCGTTTATCTCGAACAACTGGCGGAAAGCGGATTCGTCGGCAGAATTGGCATAATACAACACACAGACGAAGGCTCTGAAACATCCTAATCAACGATCGGTCACGCGGCGGCAGCCATGCGAAAATGTCACGCCGCGTAGAAACTACGTTGTTTCCGATTAAGGGCGATTTACCCTTTGTTTACTGTGATTAATATATACACCGCTACGTACTGCATGAAGCGCAAGCAGAGTCAATATTGGTTCGCGCACGTTCGTGCAGCGTGCGCGCAGTAAATAACGGCCGATATTGCCAATCGAATCGCCGTAACTACCAGCAATTAGCGAATTGGTATTAGCGCACCTGTTCGTAGCGCTTTTATGATAATCCATTCGTAAATTAATTGATAACGTCGTCTCGACCTATCGCGATCTACTCGTGCCATGCTGGCGCTGATGTTAAATCGAATCGTCTCGCTTTTCATTTTTCTCCGACGAATTTGATAACGGATTTAGCGAAAAAAGCACACACGTCTACAACTTGTGGATTGTCCTGATGTAGCAGTTCGTATCGCGGTGAATCGTATGTATGATTGAAGAGGTCGCACTGACTTTACAACCACTATCGTTCTCTCCTCGCTTTTATACGTCCGGCCGAATGTTTATTTATACTGTGATCGAATGTTAATTTATTAAAGAGCGGGCGGAGTAATTAAAGCCAACATCCCATATCGACGTTGAATGATTGAAGCGGCTCGATGGATATTGAAGAGTAATTAGTTGTATCGGAGATTTCGCGTAATTGCGTTCATCGTGGCTCAATGTAGGTCGGCGTTACGATGAGATACCGACGAGTTGTAGCTGTTGCGCTAGATAACGCGGTAGATTTACATAGTCTCATCGTTATGGTTGTAATGATTAATTTTACGGAACGCGCGAATCGATGATATTTCTCTCTCTCTTTTTTCTCTTTAACTTTTCTTTTCTCTTCGCCATCATCGAGCTTGCAAATTAATGCGTTGCTTTCTCGCGAATCCGCTTGAAATTAATGTTATCATACTGAAAACACAATTCTTTTTGCGCAATCATTCAATGAGGATTCAATACCCGTAAATTCGCTACGATCGATTCAATGATTGCGAACTGCTACGTATTTCTGGAAAAAAAATCGTGATTCCGTCTTTAATTTGAACACAAATTAATAATAAATTTAATTTTAACATAAATTTAACTGTTTTATTTTATTCATTTTTTTATTAGAAAAAATGCATCGCAAAATTACGAAGAATGTTTGCCCTTATTTTACTCGAGATACGTATTGCGAACCTTGTCCCGTTGATTCATGCAATTCGCGAATGCGACTCGTTAATATTCATTGTTATCTTAAGCAGGGGAATCGAGAAACGAATTAAATTGCCGAGACGGAGCGATCGACCGAGAAACGTTTCCTTCCTGAAAAAGGATATCTTCTTGGCCGTCATAAAGTTCGTGCAGTTTGAAATCAAATTCTCACAACCACCTGGATGCAAGTTCCGGAAACTTAACCGCGAAAAGCGCGGCGTTTCGCGCACGCGAGAGTTTCGAAATAATACATATTATATTGGAAGTGCAACTGGCTATGGATATCGCAGACAATCGCAAAGACATGTAGGATGTATCCCGTGTTGGTGAGAAAGCGAACATCGCAGGACGCGTTGCTGCTTTACATTTCTTTCACTTTACGAGTTTTCACGCAAGATATTAGGCAGTTCTCACGTTCCGCAAAATAAAGAAATTTTGTTACTCGATGATACTCGATTAATTTTCCAGCCTTGCCTCTCATTTCTTTTTGTGAGAAGAAATATTATAATTATAATAAAAATGAAATTATTATATTTTTAAGTAATTTTTTATACGAAACGTTTTAAATAAGATAATACTCATTATAATAATTTTGTAAAATATACCGAAAACTTCGTGAAATTTAATTATTATATTTGTTATTATATTTATATTTAATTATTTTTGATAATAATTTCTTTGATTAAATCTGAGATAATCTTTTTAAAAAAAATTTCGATTTTCAAGGAAAAAATTAAAAGCTGCTTCTAATTCAGTCAGAACTGCCTCTCCCCTTTTACAGTATTGCAATATATAGTATTATATCTTTTATAGTATTAGTATAGTATGAGTACAGTATTAGCGGCGCGGATCAATATATCCGATTAATATATCCGGATTAATATACCTGGTATTACGTTCGTTTGTTTGAAAATTGCAATCGAGATAACGCGTCGGAATTTCCATGCCACGTCGGCGTATTTCCCGACCGAGCATTTGCGTGACGCGATTTGTCCCCGAATTCTCTCCCTACTTTTGTTTCATCCCTTGTTTTTTCGCGATCCCACGAGGTGCAATCGGCCGGGTATGATTTTTCACCGCGGATTTGCGAGACGTGTCGTATCGGCGGCACCCTATAAATTCGACGAGTGCGTATAGATAACACACGGGCAAATCTGTGCAAACATTGTTCCAAAGCCAATAAACTCAAATTCATTTCTAAAGCATTTCAAGAAGAAATTTATCGATTTTACACAATTATTCCAACGCCTTTCTTTTTCTCGCGCACTTAAAGAATTATTGCGTACCGCGGAAAACGTGTGCCACGTACGTGGGTGCCTCCTCTTCGCTTGTGTATCGCGTATTTGACGCGTATTTCGCTATTATTAATAGCGACTATCGTAATATGGCATTAATAACGAGATTAATATAATAAATCGCGCGCGTCGGTGAAAAGTGATGCGCGTGAGCGATTACGCCGTCACTCTGTTGATTTTCTCGGCGCTTCGCGATTACGATATTTGCCGGTTTCTTGTCGTAATTGAGTTCTCGCGTGCGTTAACGAGACGCTCTCGGGGCCGCGTGGAAAATGACGAGTATGATTGATAGAGAGGATAACGGCATTGTACATTGCGATCTCATCTGTAAAGTGTCGGTGTAAGGGGAACGACGACAACCGGTCGAAAAATTCATCGACTTGCGAGAAAATTAATTAACGATGCGCTTGGTCGCGCACGCCGGGAATACACACAAATATATACATATATTAAAATTCGAGAATAAAGAGAGTTTATGACGTTTGCAATTTCATCCTCCGAACAAGGACTGTAAAAATAAACGAAGGGGAGGAGGACAAAGGAAAGAACCGCGGCGGAAAATTGCCGGGAGTTTTTTGTTATTCCGACGAAAAGTTCCACCATGCTGATTGGATGATAATGAGTCTCGAAAAGTGCGAAAACGAACCGGCGATGCCGATCGACTTTGAGCAAAGTTTAAGAGCAGAACAGCCTCGGCGCGTTGTTATGACGTTCAGACGCGGCTCCTATTCCATCTCGCGAAACTTTTTATCTTCCAATCCACTTAATCCGAGGAAGCCGAGTTTTCTTATCGCCCGCGCCCAGGTGAGATCACTTTCGTTCGTCCTCGTCACCCTCTCGGTCGCGAAGAAAACTCCGCAGCTCCTCCGCAAAAATACGCAATTATCGTTACATCGTGTTGCCGACGAAACGGCAGAAATCCATTCCGCCAGGCTGTCGAACCTTTCCGCAATTTTATTCGAGTCGTGCGATTCTCGATCTACGGGGTGACAGAAAAATCAGTCACGTTGGATATCAATTGCAATATCCGCGTATACTTATAATTCGTTCTCTCCGAGATACTCCGAAAAATAGAAAATTTTGAAGATGTACGGCCTTGCAAGATAAAATAATTCGTACTCTCAAACGTCAAATTCCGTCTGTAAAATTTTAATACTTTGACTTTTCGATCACCTCGTATATCGTGTATCGCGGCAAGAATAGAAATCTCTTTGGTCGTTCGATTACTAAAGCTATTGGCGGGACGAGATTTATTGACGCTATCGATTGCCGAATGCCTGGTGCGGCGTGTTAGTGTTGGAAATGTTAACTCGCATTCGTTTTGCGCTCGTAATGCGCTCAACATCGGAAAACGCATGAAAGCGGACAGTGCAAATGGATGCGGACAGAGGAGAGAATTTGCGAAACAATTTGCGCAAAATTGAGAAAACAGGATGAATTTATAATTACCCCGAGGGTTGACTTCCCACTCAATGGTGGCTTTGAAAAAAAACAAAGAGAAGAACATTGAATTAATCAATGTAATTACATAACATGTATTCACGTGAATGATTGCTGATACAGCGTTTTCAGCATGCACGGAGAAAAATTCTCTTCAATGTAAGAGAAGCACAATATCAATTATTTCGACTTAAAATCTTCAAATTGCAAAATATTAAATAAATTTTACAAATTAGCATTATGTCATTATATAGTTTATCATATACTTAGAGCCTGTATATAACAATTACATAGGCAAAATTAATATTTTACAATATCTCATCTATTATATGACAAATCTATTATCTTATTTATTATAAGATGCAAATGTATAACTTTAAACATCAATTTCGACTTGTATCACAATTTTAGATAACTTTATCATCATATATATAAACGCAAAAAAAATAAGACTTACTTGGTTGATGGTCTTATTCCTGATATGTTCGATGGTTAGTTTCTCCTTAACGTAATGCAGCTTGAGGATTTCCTTGATGCGCTTCTTGTCTTGCAGCATCTGCTTCACGCCTGGTTCCTCCAGCGCCTCGTTGCTAGGCGCAAAGAGGGTAACTTCACGCAAGTAACTGATGGTGTTCATGATGTCCTCCCCGAAATCACGGATGGTCTCGTAAAACTTGAACACCGGTCCATCTTCCTTTTCCTACACGGAGAGAAAAGATTTCTGTCAATCGGTTACGCGGTGCTCGTTGCGCCTCGATTCCACGAGGTGCCGTGTTTCAAGGGAAAAGAAAATGAAACACAAATGAAAAAAGCGTAATAGAAACGTAAGAAAAACGAAAGAGGAAACACCCAGAAGACAACATCGAGATTATTTATAAAGGATGGGAGAATCGATGGTGTCCAACTTCGGCTCAAAGTCACCAGCGTTCCATTACGCGTTAATCGGCAGATATGCCTTTTCGTGTAACGGAATTTTACATGAACCACGCCGAATCCGGACGCCATTAACTCTTCGCAGAAAAACACGAAAAGCGACAAAAATAAGAAAAGTTAAAAAGAGGATCTGGAGAAGTCGGAGGATAAGGAACACAAGTCAACGCGCGAAGTTCACGAAGTAAGCTCTCGGAGTTTCCATTACGTCTTCGTTTCCTATGAATTCTCGTAAATTGATTCTCATATATATTTGATCGCCAGCTATTTTCGACGAGCTGAAGTTGATTGAAATCTTGAAAAATCGATAACATTCGACCGACTGTTGAATTCTGATAGAAATCGACATGTATAATTTGGAGAAAAATAAAATTTTTCATGCGAAAATGATAATTATCGTTGAAAGAACATTAAGAGAGACTCCTAAAAGATCGTTTAAGATCTTTCAAACAAATACTTGAAATTCAGAGAGTCGTGGACGAAACAGTCGCAATTAGACTGGCGTAACGAACTTGCAGCTTCGTGTAACTTGCGCCGTGAGGAAGAGACGAAATGAATTACTTATGGGAAGAAGACAAGGTGTAAGGGAAAAGAAAGCGTGACTCGGATGTGACCGTTGGTAGTTCACGGAAGTGGCAACATTACGTGACACACATATAATCCACGTTCCTTGTCCCAATTACTCGGAGTGCCAATTGTACTTCTTGTACGGAGGAAAATCATGCGACGCGATTAAATTACGGGAGCTCGTAGAAACTAAAAGAAGTAAATAATTTCGACGTAATTCGACGGCTAGTAAAAGTAAGGAGGAATAACGACATATAATTTAATCAGAAATTCTTGATACAAAAACACAAACTTTCTTACCAAATTTTAATACACGTCGCGTGATTTTCCGATAATTCCGTATAAGAAACTAAGTGATATCCCACTGTGAAGCGCGACATATCAACACCGAGTACATCAAAATTGTCGACAAAGATAATATCCGCATATTTTTTATCAAAAATACTAAAACAACATGTCGCGTCATATTTAAATATTCTCTAAAAAAATCACCTCTATTTTTTTATGCAATGTAATAAACTTGCAACTGTATAATGAATTTTAAAAATATGTTAAAATAATACATTGTAAATATAATATAATTTGACAAGTGCTTTTTTTTCTAAAATATATGGCGCTCTTTTGATAAATCTCTGGAGAGATTTTTTTCTGCAAATTATACGGAAGACGAAATATTTTTAAAATCTTGAAAAATTTAAACGTTTAACTCTCGAGAGGAATATAGTTAAGAGAAGGAGACTCTCTCTCGTCTTTTTAAAAATCTTGGTGAGAGCAAGCACAGAAAATCCAATGTTCCTTTCGTAAAAAAATGGTTTACGAGGTATCATAGAAGAGGACATGAGAGATTTGAAAAATTTGAGGGATGGAAAAAAATATAACGCAAAAGTTAAAATGTACATTTTCTCGTACAACTCCAGTCGAATCGGATTATACCATGAAAAAAAAAACGAAAAGGTAATTAACGAGATGGCAGTTAGCCATTCACAACGCCCGCAGCTTCGACGTAGTTCTCGGTGTTCATAGACGGGCTTAATGAGAGAGAATGACCGGAAAGCAAAGAGGAAGACTTTCGACGCAAAATAGAGATGGAATCGCGCGAGAAACCAATAGAATACACGAAATCCGATCATTGTGTCGGGAAATTACTTTTGGATATTATTGATCTATGCGAACGCGCGGTAGAAGAGAGGAGTATCTTTTTCTCTGTACTATTATAGGAGAATAAAATCATGTAATTTGAGAAGAACGATTACTTATTATATTATTTTAGAAAACGAAATAAAATTGAAAGATTTGAAAATTTAAGATTGTCTCGAACAAATTTTCGACTTTGATTATTTCGCCATTTTTTCTCGATATGTCTGTTGTAAGCGCAAAATTACACGATTCTCGACGCGCCAGTCGGTTTGGTAGTATTACTAAAAAATGGGTAGTCTTTTTATACACTCCCAGATTAGAACAACGTCGGCCTTTGCGCGAGGAAAATCTGCGGAAGTCATTTCTCGCGTTCCTTTCCCGTTTGCCGAATGTTGTCAGCATTTCCCTCGTGGTACAAATCCCTCTTTTTTCCGTCTCCTCTTCCTCTTCCACCTATTTATTTCACCTTCCTTCTCGCTTTCCCTTCTTTTTTGCTCGTCTCTCTCGTTAATCTCTCTTTTGCAGGTTCGTGAGGCCAATGGAAAAGCCGAAAATTAAACGAAAGGGAGGATTAACTAGGCACCTGAAGGTGTTGCGGGAGAAAAATATTGATACGGGAGTAAAAAAGAAAGATGAAAAAAAAAACAGAGAAAAACGGGGAAGGGGCGGACAGAATCGTAACAGAAGTCGATCGGCGATCGTTAGCCGGGCTATCCTGTCCGAACGAAAAAAGGCGAATTTAATAATGATATATCGCTACTGCTAGGATTTCCTTCTATGTCGGGACAAATTAATAAAAATGTAAGAGGGCGAGAGACGCGCAGCGCCACGAGGCTCGCCCTGTGCGACGGAAGATTAAGAGGAGAGGAAGAGAACTTCTCTTCCGCAACTTGAAATCGTATCGATCGGCGAAGGCTCGTTCCTCTGTTTTTCTCAACCTCTCGCTCGGCTACGTTCTTTTGTATTCAGAGCATCGAGCCGTGAAGTTGTATACGTGTCGGCAAAGTTTTCGTTCTGCAGCAGAAATACATCTTGAAACACGGAACAGTTTCAAAGAGCACGTAGCAGAGATTTTTGGTGATCCTTTGAAATATCTCTGTGGATCTTTAATTATTCCAAGGATTTTAGATATTTAGTTAATTGAGGTTCCGAGGATCAACAGATTAAAGAAAATAAAGATTTAGAGAATCTTGAGATTTTTATTACTAGAATCTTGAATCTTCTATCTATCCGATTCTTTTATCTTTATTTTATCGAGATATATATATATTTCATTTTGATTAAGCTCGATGCTCTACCTCGTTGTTTTTTATCATTCTTTTTTTTTTATTTATACTATTATTTATATCAATACAATAATATTAACTTTCTTTGACTCAAACTTATATCACGTACTAGAACGGATCAGCGAAACGAGATTCCTCGATCGTATTTTTATGTAAATAGCCAGACGTCGTCGTAGAGACGATCCTGGATTTTACTACTTGTGTACAAAAATTTAAATGTTCAAGGATCAGACGATCCGCGTAACATCCCCGAATGTTAGAATCTTAGGAAGGATCTTCGATTTCGATTGTCTGAAACGGATCGGGAGATTCAGCCATCTCGAGATCTGAGGATTCAAAGATCAAAGACTCCAAGATCTTCGGTTACAACAAGAATCTGAACATTCAGGGATCTTAAACGATCCTGGAATCCAAAGATCCATAAGGAATATTTCAAGATTCGAAGCAGATTCGAAACCGAGCATCCGTGGATCGATGGATTCGCGGATACACATGGCCCTTCGGCGACGAGATTGGCGTCTGAAAAGTGTCGTGTGTATTTTTTCGTAGTCTTATGACGAGTTCATTTAATAAGTACTTACGATGCCCTATACGACATGCAGAGTCCAATAGAGACATGCAAAGCACCACAGAATAACATCATTGAATCAATATAAAAATAGTACACAATTGATCAAGAAAAAAAAGAAAAAAAATACAAAAGAGAAGGAGATCGCGCTCTCGACGGTAACAATACACAGAAAGATACAGAGAGAGAAAGAGAGAGAAAGGAATCAAGTGAGACTCCTTTTATTCGGGAGCCCCGCGTGTCCTCTCTGAAAGAAAAATCGATTCCCCGTCTTTTGCTCGTTTCTCCCGACGACGTAAAACAGTTCGAGGCGCACGTTCTCCGTCAGCAAGAAAGATTGATCGCACCATCGCGATTTTTTACTACTATCATGTCGATATACTCTATACTCTAGCGAATTAATATCGCTTGTAAATTGATCGAGTAACCAAGTAGAGAGAGGAAAAGCGAGTTATTTTTCTTCGCGACGTGACGTCGCTACGGCGGCGCACAGAAGGTTAATTAGTCACCGATTACAAGGGTTAATCAGTCATTTGCAACTGCGATTAATTAAGCTCGTCGTACGGGACGGTTGAATCGACGCGCGATTTTTCGATGGAGGGTCCTCCGGCGTATTGTAAATTACAGGTCGAGATTATCAGTAGGTAATTAATAGAGAACCATGGAAATTTAGTGCGTTCAATGCGCCTGGACGGGTAATTACGATAAACGTCATTTCGCTTGAAAACGACGATATCGCTACGCCGCTGCCGCGATACTCATCGTGAATAATGGCAAGACGACGACGACGTCGTTTGGCGAGCTTATTTATTAATTATGATCTACGGGCCTCCGAGGATTTCTATCAAGAAACATTCTCACGAACTTTCGCGGTTACGTTCCCTCGGGTCGGATAGAACAAAAGGGCTGATAAAAACAAATATTTTCGCAACCGCTCAACCGTTTACGATCCCCCGGATGCGATGATATCCGGGGGATCCGAGTTCTTCGAAAAACCAAAGATTCCCTTGAAATACTGGATCCGAAAACCCAGGAGTTTGTGTGGTCTGTATTTAATTAAACTATGCATTAATTATAATCATCGTGGGTGCCCCAAGAGAGACGTATATCCCAGCGGCGGGAGTTATTTTCTCAAGGAATTCACACGGCGCGTCGACCTTTCTTTAGCAAGAATTTAATTTTAAAAAAGCGCTTAAATACCGCGCAAAGCTCTTTAATTTTCATTCTTTTCGAATGACTCCAAGCAATTAAGATTTTAAGCGTTTGCTAAAGAAAAATGAACTGGAGATTACTTGCGGAATATAACATTCCCACGACTGATACGCGTCTTTCCGGGAGCGTCCCGGGAACGATTATAGCGATATATAGATTAGGCGAGATGATGAGATGATTCGAGAAAGGGTGATGAATGGTAACAGCGTTCATGATCGAATGCACTGATAAATATGTCACGTGAGATCGCGGTTATGCCGTTATGTGAATGTCGCGAGGGCCGTATCATGATCTGTGAGAATCATGGGAGAAACGCGGCGCTTCTCCAACTTATATACCGTTATACACATGTTAAAGAAAGTTTTGCCCCACTTCACTTATAAATCTTCGGTATCGCACGCGACGAAGTAACCGAGACGTTGTCTATAAATATAACGATGCAAAATTTCCGTCTCTTTTCTAAGCTCTATATTTCTAGCTTCCGAGCTCCCCTAAATTATTTGAGGATTTTCTCGCGTCTTTCGACAGAGACGCTAAATAATTAATAGTCTATTTTCCCAAAATCTTGCTTCGAATATACTTGGATTTAATGATTTACTTAGTTGGAATTATTTCGCGCGCTCACCGAAAGGAAGATGGTGCAAAACCTTGATTGACATGTGTATCCGTCGTGTATATCGGTGCTCTCCCGTATTCGACATTCGAGCATGCGACATTCATAGGACTAATCAATTCTAGCAGTGCAACGTGCAGTGCGACTGTCGCTAAATACTGACTGATTTTTTTTACAAGGAAGATTTCACTCGCGGCAGCTGGGCCTGTAATCAACGTTCCGTCGTAAAGAGCGCGCCTTGTAGTCGTCGTAATCGTAAAATAGTCCTTATATGAGCATCTATCGCGTAATCGCGCGCTCATCTTTCGCGCGCGTTGGATAATACACTTTGGAAATGAAATTTTTACAGCGCATCCAAAGTACTAACTTCTCGGGCGGCAAGAGTGTTGTGCGAAAAAGTTTCGCTCTCAGCGAAACAACGCGATCATCTTCGTCGCCGAGGAAACTCTCTTCCTTTTTTGATACTTGCCGCGACTGAAAATCGACGCTATTTATAAGGGATGGCGATACCGAAAAATGATAGTTTCTTTCGAGAAACGAGAAGATTACACGATTGTATTGAAATGCGTTAAAATTAACTTCAATAGAGTATAATGTAATAATTGTTATATAATTATACATTAATGGTTCTCGAGATTTTTGCATTTGTTATTAATCTTCCTTGCAAAGTAAGAGAAAACAGTGCATTCTCATCCACAGGCGGCAGCTAGTAATTCGTAATACGAGCGCTGTTTCCAAGTCATCAATCAATCAGAACATAAAAAAATAACGAGCCGTCTCACATGTCTCGTTTTGTTTCATCGCGCCCCCTTTAGCTTTCCTCTCTCTAGCGCACTGAAAAATTTACTCAAACTCCCAATAAACCGAAGGAAACCCGTAATAAATGATTTCCGTACGAATCTCACAATTATATCGGGTGCAAAAAAAGAAGAAAGAAAGGAAGACAAAGGAATGTATCCGGAGATTCGCAAAACGCGCCGAAAGAGGCCCGAATTCAATCTTCATCAGGAAACCCATTACAACGGCGGGGAACAAAATTCCGCTCGTAAATCCTTTATCGTCGCCGCAACGCCGGACGAAGGAGCAGATCCTCCCTAAATCCCACTCGATCTCGCGCGTTAGAAATCTAAACTCGATATATCACGGTGGTCCCTCCTCCAACCCTCTGTACATTATTAGACCCGCGTCGAGGGTCAGCGCGGCTTGGCGGGGTTACATCGATTTACGGGATCCAATCGCACGCGTGCGCGCCATCGATCGATAGTCTGATAAGAACGTAAGGAGTAAGTTGGTCGTATAACGCCGAACGTCGAAAATTTACGCCCTACATTCGGATACAGCGAGGAGAAGAGAAGCGAGCGGACGAGTATCTCTCAAGTTTCCCTTTAACGATCTCGTAAAAGTCATCCCCGCGACACACGAGGCTGCGTTATTTTTTACCGGTCCTGTCCAAATGATTGCATTAATAATCGGTTAATAGTCGGCTTAATAGTCGGTTATGTTTGCGAACTGTACTAGCACTTATTTTAGGATAAATTTGCGAACTTTACAAAATTTTTATCAGGTCGAAAGTGCATTGGAAAATTTGAGATGATTTTTCACTGAAACCAATATGGAATTGTATTTTTGAACACGCACGTTAGAATGACAATCCATCAAAAGTCATGAAACTTGTACAGCCTCTTTTATTATTATCGCGAAAGTGCATCCGGAAAATTTAAAATAATTTTTGTTTTCATTAGAATCAAAGTGGCATTACACTTTTAGAATCGTAAATTGGAACGATAACGGATTACAAGGCATAAAACTTGTATAGATTCTTTTATTATTAAAAGGGATAATAATTGCAAATTAATTGTTTTTACATCTATATTAAAATCTAAATTAAGGCGAAAATAAAAAGCTGGTTTCAGAATAATAGGAATAATAGTTCCATGTTAAATAAAGGGAGAAATTGAACGATTTAAAACATTTTAATATTGAAAATGACTAATGCGTCACAGTGATTTTTTTCTAGGATAGAAATAGCTTTTCAATGCCCGAGGATATATTTACGTCAGCGTTTTCGTTTTTCGGATTATTAACACGTCATTAGTATCGATGTTCATTATTCGGAGTGACACGCAGTTATAATAAAAACGCGAGCAAGCTCTAGATTGGCTATGTGATTGATCGTGAATAAAGTTATTAATGATGCGGCTGATCGCCAAACGTTTATGTCACCGAAACTGGACGCGTTATTTTATTTAAGCATTTCGATTTGCGCGTTTGCGTTCCACTATTTAATAATTCCAATTTTAGGCAAAATCGTATCGCGAAAATCTCAAATTTTACAAATCAAAACAACAATCGTATACAAAAAAACATGTTTTATTAATAAAATAAATATGCAATTGTGTCTAACTTTTTAATGCAAGCTACATGACTTTAGTTACTTCGTTTCTGTATGAAAAAGGAATATCGAAATACAAATAATTTCGCGAGTTAATATTCGCGACTTTTAAAAAGTGCAGGCAGATATCACTGTGATTCCGTTTCCGTCACGAAGGTACGAAGAACGCCCCGGAACTTCTCGCGAACTTTCTTACATTTGACCGGACGCCTTTCTTCCGAGATAAAGCCACTGTCGACACGCGGCTGCAAGAAGGCAGCTCGCTTGCATTCCCTCTCTCGATGAGGTACGATTCTCTCGAGGAGGGACCTGAAATTTACGACGCTTGTTTGGCGCGCGCCTTGTCTTCACTATGGAAAACTCGCGAGAAGAAAGGAAAGAAAGAGAAAGAGAGAAAGCTTTCCACGGACTTTTTTTTTCGCAACGGCATATTTCATTTCCCCGAGACTTCCCGCTTCTTTCGCGCGGCGCGTCGGAAACCCGGGCTTCCTTTCCTTAGGATTGTAAATGGCGAACGACCGCGTGTTGAGTAATGAATCCAGAAGGATCCTTGTTTCGGGTGGCAGACAATCACTCAACTTCCCAAGAGCGGAGAAACTCAGAAATCTCGAAATGCGAGAATACGAGAATGCCAAAGCTTCCAAGAGATCTTGAGAATCTTGGATTCTGCGGATTCTTAGCCTGTGCATTGAACATAAAGCAAAGTTTCATAAATCAACAACTTCTTTCGTAATGTCCACTTGATACCATTTTTCGACTATGCGTGATAGAAAACTAAGATTCTATCGATATGAAAATTGCTGACATGCAAATATCATGTGTGTACGTGTGTACATGTATATACTTGTATGCGTGCATATATATGTGTGTGCATGTGTGTTATGTGTCGAGACTATGTCGTTAACGTATATACATATCATACAATCTATCATGCATGTTGTAACGAAATTAAACTATAAGTTTTGCCTGTGATGCTCGCAGCGTGCGTTTCGAGTGCAATCGAGTGCAAGGCACGATTTTCTCTCTTCGGATCTTCGGTTAGGAATCGGTTAGGATTGGCTTGGCATATTCCGGCATATTCTGAGGAGAGTCCGCGATCGATAATACGCGATATCCGTAATGGTTGGTTTTATCGGTTAACTTTGTATATCGGGTAAATAAATTCTTCTGAGAGATAAAATATTCATAAAGTATTCACTCACGAGATATTACATAAGTTGTGCGCTTTTTCCTCATAATAAATTGATGATTAAATGTGCGATCGATATCTCGTGATGCAAATTCAATTTCTCCAATATCAAATATAATAAATAACTAATAAAATACAGTTATAAGAAAATCAAAATTTTGTTAAAATAGTTGCAATTAAAGTTTAAAAATTGTATTGCTGCGTTTTTCATTAAATTTTTAACTAGATCGTTAAATTTGATTAATGATACCTTAATATTGCAACAATGTCATTATTTTTAGATTAATTTTTGGTATTTCTGGTTCTGGAAAAACACACAATTACAGAACATACTGTGTAACAAACTCAAATATAAATTCTATTTTGTCCCAATTACAAGTTGAGAAACGTGCAAAACCATTATCATTCTCGAGCTCCTCGTTATCCTTGTATTTTACTCTTATTTGTTTTAAAACTTATAATAACTCGCACTTAAACATCAAAATTATCCGTCCATCAAATTAGACATAAAAACGATTAAGCAATATCTTGGCTTAATTTGCTTTGCAAGGCAAAATTGGCAACATTTAATTTTTGACTCGTCAACAATTAGAAACTCGTTTCCAATCGAAAAGCAAATATTTTACAAGAAAAATCTACTAATAAAAAATTATATCCGCAAACGAAAAAATTGTATTTTTAGTAAATTACTGGATTTTATTGTAGCAAACTACAATAAAAATGTTGTTTATCTCATTATTTTTTATTTAAAAAAATCTCTATAATTTTATTATCTTTTATTCTAAACGAATGAAGTAAAAAATATTTCGAAAATTTAGTAAAATAGGACAAATAAACATGTATATTTAAAATGTATATTTAAAATGATTTGATAATTTAGAGTTATAGAAAATTTACTTAAATACTTAAAATTTTCCAATTATTTAATTTATTTTTATAAATAATTCCAAGAATTTTTTAAATTCAATAAAATTCTTGTTCTTTCAAATATTTCAATATCCTAAATTTAATTTTTTGAAAATTTAATAAAAAAATTTTAACGATTTGCGAAAATAGACATAAATGTAATATTCGACATCTAAATATTGACAAAGATCTCAAAATCTCTGCAAAAGATGTTGGATATCTTAAAATTCTCCTGTGCAGTTGCCTATACTTTTGAGAGCCTCGTCAGAATGCACAACAAGCGAGATTTCAACAATCCGATTTTTAGATTTTAGAAATCATTAATGGGTCTGTGCAAAAATGTACCACAGAAAAAAAGAGGAATAAGTAGAACGGAATCCGCTTCGATTTGCATCATAAATAGCAGCGATGGATACAATCCCGGGGAAAACGCTTCAAAAGTCGCGCTGGGTGGCATAATGGTGCCGTGCAAAAAAAAAGAGGAGAAAAAAATGCGCGTTTTTAGCGGGCGCGTCAAGCGTGAGGAGGATGAGGGCAGGCGGGGTAACGGGTCTGGGAAGAGAGGAGATAGAGATTTGAAAGAGTGCTGAAAAAGAGAGGCAATAGGACGCATAAAAAACACCGACTACAAAATGCAAAGTCAGCGGTCGCTCTACGCTCGCGAATGCGCACGAGTGCGTGCGCGCGCGCGCGTATGTGCATTTTATTTTTATTTTTTATCTTTATATTTTCTTCGTTTTTTCTCGCTTCTCTTTCGCCTTAGCATGCGGGCACGCGCACGCTACTCTCGCACTTTGCTGCTTCTCTACTTGCTCGGTGTATGGACGGACGCAGAAAAGGCGCACATTAAGCTCTCACGGTGGTTCATAGTTTGCATAGCTCGGCGACGTCATGTAATGCGCGCCAGTGTCCGCATTTATGGGCGACGCTGCTCGCAAGCGCAGGATCGATGAAACATGAAGGCGCTCTTCCTTTTACAGAAGGATGTGCGCGCGCGTGAACGGCAAAAAATTTGGCATCATCTTCCACCGGGAAGATGAGTAAGGGCTTTCGTACGGGACGATCCTGGATAACAGCATTCAAGGATCTGAGAGAGAGAGAGAAAGCAACGTCCTCCGCTTTTTCAAGACTATACTACTTCTTTCGTTACATCGATCCCGGAGAAATCTCTTCGCCAATAAAATCGGACATCGGCGGTGAAGGTAACGACGATGAGCGAGGAGATATGGCGGCGCACGAGAAGAGGCACATGAAGAAACGAAACTATTAAAAAGACGTGAATGTGCTTATGACAAGATAGAGAAATGTTGAAAGAGACAGATAACAAAAAAGTGATAAAAGAGAGTCGAAAATAAGAATTCAGAATGGCTGTTTGTGTGAATGATGTGTGAATGATGTGTGAATGATGTGTGAATGATGTATGTATGATGTATATGTGTATATGTCACTATAAAAAGATACTACAAAATTTTATATTTCATATGTCTAACTCGAATTTTTATCCTTTTCTTTTACCGTTTTTTTTTAATATCAATGGCACATATTTTGCATAAGACTTCATCGTTATTTGATCAAAGAGAGAACTTTTAAAACGTAAATATTTGAAACGAAATCTCTTCCGACAGATTAGATCTGACAGCTAATTAGATATATATCTATTCAAAGACGCTCTGTGTAATTATAGTGACATGGTGACGTAGCGATGATCCGAATGAATGTATTAGAATGTAATAGAGAGATAGAAATTAAGGCGAAAGTAGAGAAAAAGCCGGTGGCGAATTACCTTGAAGGACTGCATAGAGAAACCGGAAACCAGGGTTGGTCCATAACATAAGAAGCAAACAGAAAACAGAGAAAGGTAAACTTGTAATTAGGTCGCTCGCTGTAAGAGACACTGTAAGCGTTTCGCATGTAATTCCCTGCCAAGAAGATGGGCTAGGTGTGAGTTGACAGGGGTGAAATAGTCTTATCTGTGTCTTTCTGTAGGTCGATGGATCCAACGTGTGCTATCGGGTGCTGGAAGAACTTGTGCTACAGGATGAACAAACGTCGCAAAACTCAACTCAGGAAAAGCTACAATATTTAATAACGTTGCAATCAAATAGTCAATGTTTTAACGTGAAATTTGATGATTCTTGACGATCATCCTGTAAATTAGGGCATGAAAGCCGTTCTATGTACAAAAGTATCAGGCTTTATAATAGAGAGAAACTTTCAGCGAAGTGCGTTTAATCTTTTAGCGCTGCAAAGTTGAAAATTGCAATTCATGCTAAATTGTCAAAGTATTTACATTTGTAGCATAAATTAAAAATGTACTCCAAAATTTCTTCCAAATATTCATAATGTAATTTTGCGAATCGAGAGCAACGGCTGCTGCTCTCGATTCCCTCTATCGATCGACTTGAACAATCGAGTTTTATTATTAGTGTTGCGGCAATATTAACTTATTATTGAACACCCTAGCAGCCAATTAACTCGCGAAGCGCTGTTGTTTGCGTATGTACACGACGCGCAAATATTTATCGCACAATTTCTCTCGGTTATACTCGGCCGCAAGTATTGGCGTAATTTGGAATAGAGGCGCGTGCGCCCGCGCTAAAAGTCGTCAGACGTTAACGTATTGCCTGGCGACGATTATGTCATCATGATTCACAATCGAATACAATAAACGCGCGATAAACTCGTCGCTAATTAGCCGGACTTAATTACGCCAATACGATACGCTGTCACATATTTCCATAGGCTTCGTGCTCAATTTGATTTCCGACTCGATAAAAGCGCGCAATGCAGAAAATGTGCTCGCGCATATATACATTCACGTATATGTGTATATATGCGTAATATTATAATTCGATAAATTTAAACTATCTGTCAGTGTCACGCGAGTGGCATAATTCTTGAGATTTTAACGTTTCATGATTGCATTGATCGATCGCAATTCTAGTCTGAAATCGCCAAAAGATAGACGCAATCGCGTAGCCTGTGGATTGTGAGACATGAGTATAGGAAGTATTATTGATGGCGATATATTATAAAAATGCTATCTCTGCGAATGGCTGAGTACCAATCGTAAGGCATATCTCGACATGTTTTACGATCATCGTAAAATCTTATATACACAATTTATTCAGTCTGCTATAGTATTAATATAAACTATAGACGTATTTTATTCGCGTATACTCGTGATTTTATCTTTCAACCGGAGGAACAAGAGTCGCATATCGTGATTGTTTAAAGACTGAGCGATCCAAGTCTCCGAATATATCGTTTAAATTCTTTTTCAACTCTTAATCAATTCTATAACAACCATCAGACTTAATGAATACGTTTACGTTGATATTTAAAACGCGTTTGGGGACGAGTCGAGTCGACTGACATCGACGCGTGTGAAATTGCACGTCGATTTCTAATTTCTGCCGAAGACAGAATTCACGCCAGTTATCACGTATGCGCGCAAAATTGCACTCGAGTGCGCGGCTGTCTATTTTCGTCGCGGTGAACCGATAATTAATTACGACACGAGGACCGGGAAAACGCGAAAATGTCAACCGGTCGGTCGGCCGCGCTTCGATTGTCACAGCCGCGCGTAGGCGACGCGTTCTCGGCGGCGCACATCTCGTGTGTCAGATGCACCGTACACTGCATATAATATGCACACACGGGACGTCCCGGTTTAACTTTTCAGGGGAATTACGCGCGAAACGCGCCACAGCGAGGCGGTGTTATCCCGTTTGAAATGCTGCTCAACTTCCTGGATGCATCGCGATCCCTGTACGCGGTTTAAATCCATAGCGCTAATAATGCGGGGTAGAGAAGATTTTCGAGAGTGCATAGTCCAATATTAAAATGTCCAAGTTATATCTGACGGCTTGAGAAATGTATGATATTACATATCGTTCATAAGAGGGAGAGATATCAGTGTGTTATTAAATTTCTTCTCACATGAATGAGTTTTTTGCATTTTTTAATGTAAAAATTTTGATACTTAATTCTCTCTCTCTCTTTTACGATTTTTAATACCTACAGCAATTTTGTCGCATACAATTCTCGCTCCTCGCGCAGGTAAAATTTTTCATCTTGCATCATTTGCATATTTAGGGCGCTATTTTCTATGCCAACTAGCGGTTAATTAGCGTACATTACGCAAACATCGATTTTCCCCTCTCGTATCGATCGTTCAACATCGTTTGGCTTTTAATCCTCTCGTCGTGAAATGGCGTGGAACACACATAGGTACGAGCGCGATATATTCAGTCGATGTAATTCGATTTCATGCGCGGTCGGATTAAACAATAATACGCTAAAGGATCGTCTGTACTGGCGCGTGTTGTGTCGAGTACACGACAACTTTTACGTTATATATTTTTTTTACCAATCTCTCATCGACGTCGGTCACGTCAAAAGTAGAATCGATGGTCCTTGTTGACCGCGTCAAAATACCATTCTGAATTTTCCGACAAATATTTTGCCATTTTTTTGGAAAAAAAACGTAAAAAATTCTCGCCAAATCAATATTTCCTTCTAGCGCTGTAACACGATTTTTGTTCACTTTATGTCAAGAGATTCTTTGGTATTTTTTTTTGCGCTATAGTAGTTATTTAGAAAAGCATAACATGATAAAATTCTTCTACCATATCGATTATTAGAGCTTGAATTATATATTGCGAACATTAATTATATATTGTTTATATATTATATTATAATTATATATTATATGTGGAATTAAATTTCGGTTTCTTTAGCGTCGATTGCGCGAGTATAAACGAATAAACGAGATAACAAATAGTACAAGAAAAAAAATATACGCGCGGTACTTAATCGTACGCTATAGCAATGTGCGTTTTAATCTTCGATACGGTCGAATCAAATAATAACTGCGCGGCGAGCCGGGAATCGTTTATGTTCACACCTGGCTGTCATCAAACTCGATCAATTTTCCATTACTTTCCCTTTCATCAATAACGCTTTGTGGTCTATTTTGGCGATCACCGCTTCATTCGCGAAAATCTCACCCATCACGTGCCGAGATGTATCGTCCGAATTTTTTAGCATGAGTGCAGATTGTGTGGCATGCATTTCAGAAACACATCAACTTCTTTTTATCATATTAATAAAATATACGATTTGATGTGTATTTTATTGTGCATTAATATTGTCTAAATTTTTATTCGCGAGAAAAAATAAATATATTTTTGCGAATTTACTATAATTGCAGATAATTAATTCATATTACATTAGCAGGATGCGCGTTTGTTATTTTCACATTTTCTATTTATCCGTTTTTATCTCCATACGAAGAGAGAAAAATAAGTATACATTCACAATCTTCTACTGCAGAAAATTATGTACGCTTCGCGGAGATTTGGAAAATAATCCCGTCATTTAAAAGAACTGTTTTGCCACGCGGAATTATTTCGCGACGTTATCACGCGTGCGTTATTCGATCTCAGAGGAGGATATGAAATTGCACGGGGGGATACTAAGGCGAGTACACGTTCGTTCAGCGAATTTTCCGCACGATCGTGCTGAGGCTGCGACTCCCGGCGAATTTGTACGCGACAAGTGACCCGGAGCTACTGTGCGTTTTCCGAGTATGTACATCCGTATCTTCTTCCGTGTCGAATCGTTATTATTCACGGTACAGAAGTCGGGATTTTCTTGGCAAATTTTGCGGCCGAGACACCCGACAGCTGTACGACCCACTTTCGCAGCAGTCGCTGACAGTTCGACAAGTTGGCAGGTCAGGAAAGGGTGGAGGGTGTGTCACCAGAATGGAACATTTAACGGAATGTAATGCCAGGCATTACAGATCGATAATGTTACCGGTTATGGTCCCAATACAGGCTTTGATTGCCTCGACAGAATATTATGCGGGCAAATTGCAGGCAATTCGTAGGGGAACAATGATTATTTCGATGATCATCGAAGAGCGAAAGATATTCGGAAACTATGAATTTGTGAATTGTGGATGAACGCGACAAGATTTACAAATCTCTCTGATATTTTTCACGAATTCTCCGGGATTTATAAAGTTTCGTATTCTTCCGAAGCGCGTTTTTCACTTTTATATTACTTGGCGCGCTGATCTCTCTGTCGTGACATTTTTACGAATCGTATATCGGCTTTAATACAATTATTCCCGGTGGCACGTTTTACGCGAGAGAGATAACCACTTTCGCTTTTACTAGTGAAAACTTTTTCCGACATGCGCGAACTCAGCGCGATTCGATTTAACTCCTTAAATCTGATTCTCCCTCGACGACGTTACAGCTATGTTACCGTCGCGTAGCTTTTGCTCGACGTTTACGCTCGTTCGTTGCAAACTAAACTGATCTCATGTACTAACTGTGTGCGTAACCACGGAAGCGCAATAATTCAATGAGCAAGTACGGGTACCTGAGCCTCGCCGTGAGCGGCAAGTAGGCCGTTTTGAAGTGAATCGTTGTACCGGAAGCCCATAATGAAACCACCCGCACACGCTCCGCCGCGATAGTGAAATCTTTAACCGCCGAATTAACGCTGCGAGGGACGTGCGTTACGACGCGATGAACACCAGAACGAGGAAATTTCCGGCAAATTTATGGAGATGAATCAAGAAAGCGAACGAAGAAAAATAATGGATCCGTGAATCCGGGAAACGTTGATATGTCCTGAATACATTCAAGTTTGATTACCGACATATCTCGAAGCTTTAAAATTTTGAAGTTTCCGAACGATATGCCATTCGCGCTTTAAAAATTCAATATTTACGAAGCTCAAAGTATAAGACTTTATTAAGATTTTCTAATTCGA